ACATCTATTGTTTTGACTACTGTATTAGTCTTCATTGCCATTATTTTTGTGTGAAATTTGTCAACCTAACTAACAAAAAGAAAGAGTCTTTCTAAAAGAAAATGATATTCATTCAAGCATAGGGCATTGCAAGGGGAATACACTTGCCATAGTAAACTGTGTGTGTATTCTGGGAGGTAATGGTAGACAAAGGTTTGTAAAGGAAAAATGATGGAGCATTACATAATACTTTGGGGATAATAATTCTTGGCAACAATGATCAATAACAAGGGTGACACCAGTCCAAAGCTGGACAGGCAGTTGCTTGGCAGATGTCCTTGCAGAAGTATCTTTTTGTAAGGCAGCATTGGCCTCTGTGCAAGGTTTTGGTTTTACAGAGTCCTTTGTGATAGTTCTTGTTATCAGGCATTTATGCATGAGAACCCTTCCCTTCATGGCCTTCCCCAGCCCTATTTACCAGGTTTTTTTTCTTTTTATTTATTTATTTATTTTTAAACACAAGTGACTCCATTTTGATTCTGAAAACTTCCACGAATGTATTGCAGCTGACCATTTGAGAAGGACTAAAGTAGACATCTGTTGTTTCTGCCTGCTTGGCATCTGTTCCCCAATTTTCCTTTGGAGAACCCTCTATTCTAGATCATGTGAAGCTAGCACCAAATTCCTTTCCAGGGGAGGGAATTTGAATCCAAGCTTAGTCATCTGAACAATCCATTTTCCATGTTCAGAGAGGGGCAAGTGAGTCAAGATGCCCCTGTAAGAAGAGATCTGGGACTTTTGTAGCAAATATTGAAGAAAAAGTGCTTTCTTTTCCTTGCTAGGACTAAGTTGGTAGTACCTTCTAAGGGACTATCATAGAAAAAACTTGTCTGAAAATGAAGCCCAAACTGGAAAACAGATCCTGGTAACCTCGATTGACAGATCTAGCCATGCCTTAAATGGGAAAACACATTCCTAGGCTTTTGCATCAACTAAATAAAGTCCTTAAACCAGCTGATTTTGTCACTTGCAGCTAAAAGAATCCTGACTCTAACAATATGACAACACTAAAAAGAAATATGACTGCTTTGGGGGTTTCTCATGGATTTTCTTCCTTATATACATGATCTCATTTAATCCTCACAATTCAGAAAAGCATATATCTATTAACATTAAATTAATACTCGCTATTTTTTGAACATTTGTGGAAGAGGAATGGTGAAAGCCAGGGGCACAATCTGAAATCTCACGGGAGAGAAGTGGGGGTAACATATCTCAGGGCACTCAGTGGACATTCATCAAATGAAAGAATAAATAGTATATGGCAGAGCCAGGAGGTGATACTTCACTAATCCCTGAAATGATAAATTAGGAGTCTGTTCCAGTAGCCTGGGCCAGAGATGATGAACCTCAAATAGGCAGCCTTATGAGAATGGTTTAAACAATAGGACATAGAGACAGAGTCAGGTTAGACGTGGTGGTCCTTAGAGTTTGTACATCTAGCTGGCTGCAGCTGTTTTCAATAAGACAGGGAAAGAAGGAAGGGGCTGAGTTTGGGAGGTAAGGAGGGAAACTTGCAGTTAAACATGTTTGCAGGATATATAAGCAAAGAGGTCCCGCAGGCCTTTCGAGTGATAGGTCTGGACCAAGGAGAGGATGAGACTAGAAATACAAGATGGAGAATCGCTGGCATACAGACGGCAGTTCAAGCAGGCTTGGGCATTGCCCACTACAGCCTCACTATGAAGAGAAGAGGAAGAAGCTGGCCACCACCTCCCTCTAGGTAATCTTAGTCCTGCTTGTGAGCTCCCCCGTTTTCCCCATCTCTTGCTCTTGATTGCAACTGACAGGCAGTCAGGACGTACTCAGTAAATATTTGTGGAAGGACTGACAATGTAACGCCCCGGCACTGAGAGTAAAGGGTTGGTTCTACAAGGGCGTTTCTCCAGGTCCTTTCTACCCGTAGAGCTGTCAGTCTCTGGATGCA